TTCTGAAAGGAGATCTGCTAAAATGTTGCAGTTTTTACTGAATGATGGAATAATGATTATTTTCATGCACTACTTTATGCTTTTCTCCATTACCTACAATGAGCAAGCATTCTTAGAAATAGACAAAGAAATAAATGCAATAAAAACAAATTATTTCAGCTGTTCTCTCTAGAACTCTGCCTAACTCACAGTTGTTTCTTCATTGTCTCTGCGTGCCCTGGAGCTCTCATGAGAAAGAGCCCATTGGTACGACTTGACTCTCAGTGCTCAGGTTATTATTACCAAATTTCAGAGTTTACACGTGGGTGTTGTCTTTCTGCTGAGGGCTCATAGCCAATAAATTGTTTCGCGAAATGAAGAACAAAATAATCTTATTCTTGGCTAGGGTTCATACTTTTAAAAGTATTTTCACACATAGGACTTCGTTCGATCCTCATGGCAACCTAGTGAGGCAGGCACAAGGCAACATTTTTTCCCCATTTTCCAGATGAAGGGGCCCCGGATCTTTCAGAGACAGGCTAGCCTGAAATCACAGCGGGGAGGTGTGGCAAAGGCAGGACCAAACCTGGCCTTCAGCCTCCAAATAGCTGTCTTCCCCAAATTCGGCCTTCCATGAATTTAAAGTCTCCTGCTGCAGCTAAGGGTTTGTTTGTGTTAGCTGACCTGGCAGAGACAATTGGAACGCACAGACATTTGGAAATAAAAGCAGTGTTTCAGAGCTGCAAGATAAAATATCTCATAAATTATAACTTGTAATGATTTATAATTATGTATTGGAAAATATCTTGGAAACTACAATGTGATTTCGAGTTTCATAACTTGAATTTGCTCAGCCCTTCAAGAGTGACACTAGCATGAGGGTCAGTGTATCATGGGGTTACTTTTTTCCCCCACATAATTACATTTTGTAATGGCTTTAGTAGCAAGGTAGAATTATTCCCATTTTGCTGCCATGAATGGAGATGGGGAGAATTCATGGAAGTCCCTCAGTGAGTTTAGGGGGAAAGGTCATTTATAAAGCAAAGGCCACTGCATTTTTCCTTTGTAGTTTAGCCACGTTAAATTCTTTTTACAACCAGATGAGGTTGAAATAAATAATTAAATGAGAAAGGCAAAAGACTTAAGATTCCATTTTCTAAGGAAAAAATGAACCTAGGCCTGCTTGCTCATTCCTCAAACTCTAAAAATATTAGTTAATCTTTATTGAATGGCATGAGCCAGGCACTGTTCAAAGTATCTCTTTAACAAATGAAAGCTGGTATCTGAAATAATTGATCGAGTTTGATTTTTCTCCAAAGGGTAATATAGTGGTGTGCTGAAATCATTGGAGTTCATGACCTTAATTTAAGGTGGGAGTGATTCCTACAACTCATGGGGTAATCATGAGGCTGAAATGAGAGATATAGATATGTAAAATATTTTTTCAAATATTTAAAATTGAAATATGATTATTATGGATAAACAGCCTCGCTTGTTTCCATTTCACTGAGCTTATAAGATACCTGATATTTATCGGTTACAATCAAGTGAACCCAAATTTTTAAATTGGAGCCCATATGTTACTTCTCGGATGGAACGTCTTAATCTTCTTTGTGTGGGAACCCCTTTGGTGAAACCTATTGATCCCTTCTCAGAATAATATTTTATAATATGAAAAATAACATGGGATTACAAAGAAAATCCATTAAAATGAAATACAGCCATTTCAGTATTATATTTGTTCTTAACACATTAAATAGTAAAATTTAGCAGTGGCTCTGATAACTACCATAATTTCAGGGTAGTGATAAGTGTGCATGATATTCTAAGATATGTATGTATAGCAAGCATATCAAGCTAGATATGATGCCATTATGTACGTGAAAATATCTGCAATATCTGCTGGTGACAGAGTCACAGACCCTGCTATGACAATGTGCTTGTTGCATGCATTCATCACAGAAGGAGTGAAATTTCAGTTAGAGTTTAGTGAAAATAAAGATGTACCTTTTTTTTCCTCCATCCAAGGTCACAGATCCACTGAATTCTTCCAAGGTTAAACTTTCTAGAAGGCTACTTCAGAGTTTTTATTCTATTATGTTGGAACTTATAAGAAAAAAAATATCCATGAAATTGTGGGGCAAATAGGTGATTTCAATGTATATTTTTGGTCTGAATGGTAAAATGATACATTATCTTTTGATTTCAGATTGCGTTCACAGGAACCACCTTTATTGGCTATGTAGGATTGTGGACTGGTCAGCGTCCACAGAAGTTTACAGTTTCTGGTGATGAACGAGGTAATCAAAATGAAGTCCTAAATGTTTTTAGCCATGTCCTTGTTAGTGTTACCCATATACTTCATTCACTCACCCAACACCTATTACACTACATGGCAGAGCCATGCATTCTAATGCTGGGAGACGGGCAGTGTGCATGTGAGCAATGAAGATGATTGCAGGTAGCGATTAGTGCTACCAAGAAAGTAAAACAGGAAGAAGCAATAGAGAATGAAGGAGGTGTGGGGGGTGCCTACCACTAGAGGGTCAGGGACGGCTTGACTCACATGATCCAGGAGCCAAGTCTGCAGAAGCTGGGGGAAGACCATCCTGATGGATTCCAGAAATAAAAGATAGTAGTGTGGTTACAGCATGAAGAAAGGAGCGGGTGACATGAGAGGTGCAGGGGAAGGCTGAGGCCATGGTGAGGGTCATGATGAGGAGTTTGGATTTTAAGGTCAATGGAAGCCCTTAAGGATTTTAGGCCAGGAAGTAAACAGATCTGATTTATATTTTTAACTATCACTTTGGCTGCTCTTTAGAGACTGAATTGTGTTGGGTTAAATGGAAGCAGAAGACTATTAGGAAGCTATTATAATAATCTAGAGGCTATATAAGGACATTCTACAGGCAAGATCTGTAAAGCCCTTTACCAGTTTACTGTGTACTTTCTCATAACTTTTCTCAATAGAGCCTCACAACAGTTCTGCTAGATAGGCAGTGTCACGTCCTGCGTGGCAAGGGCAAATGGGACACGAGAGGGGCGACGCAAATTGAATAAAGAGACAGAGACAGAAGTAAGATTTAAGAGCGAGACCAAAGGACTCAGCCTTCAGAGATAGACTGAGCCACCGAATCGGGTCGACACATGGTTTTTATTGATTATTTTCAAGGAAGTAAACTGCTATGCTGTGAGTCATTAACCGTGTATTCTTGTGNAAACCTTTTCCTCAAACTACTTCTCTCTGGCTGAGAGTTTTAAAAGGATCCTTTTCTTTTATTAGCTCTGTACAAGGAGTTCTAAAGGGGATAGGAAAAGTGCCAAGCCCCTGAAGAGTTAACTATTTTTCCAAGCAGACAAAACAAAACATTAGTGGAACACAATGGTTTAGTGCCATTGTACTTGCTCTGAGAAATTCATGGAAGCGAGAGGTGCATTCGAGCTAGCTTTGATAGATGTGCTAAATACACTACATACTGCCACACAGAGGAATAAGCAAAATTCATCTCTAGCTGAGCCCAGAATAGGCCAGTTTCAGATTTAGATTTAGGATGGAACTCTCCTTGAGTGTGTTTTTGATGCCATGGGTGCCGAGGGCAAAGGTCTAGCAATACTGAACACTGATAAATTGTGTCCGGCTGTGTTTTCATCTTGAATTGTGAAGCCGTTTTCTTGTACAAGGATTACATAGCACATGTGTGCATTGTAAGGAAGAATAACTCTTTTATATTAAGCACTTATTTTAAAAGTGAAAAGCTCATTTTCTTATTTTTCTCATTCATTTCTGTTGGACCTTCCCCTTTACTCAGATTCTGCACCAGCATTGTTGCTCAAGACTCCAGGGGCCACATTTACCATGGCCGGAATCTGGATTATCCGTTTGGGGATTTCTTACGCAAGCTGACTGTGGATGTGCAGTTCTTAAAGAATGGGCAGGTATGGTCCTTACAGCATAAGATTCAGAAATCAGAGACTTGTGAACCCAAGTTGGCAATCATTAGGACGGCATGCTACTTAAGTGTATTACCAGTTTAAGATACAAAACACATCAAACTCCTGGAAAAACAAAGCCAGAAGAGAGGTTTACATCAATTATGCAGGTAGAAAGAAGTGTCATTTATTATTATTAAGCATCTATTTAAAGAGGTCAATTCATTTTCCTTAGGGGACTCTCTATGGGGGTATGAGCAGTCGTCCACTTATGCCAAGTCAACTCTTCCCTCTGTTTTCCCATGTTCAGGCTGTTTCTGGAATAGGTAGGGGCTACGTAGTGTAATGGCTGGGAACACCCAACGTTGGACTGTCCTGGGTTTGGATCCTGCTTCTGTCACTTAGTTCCTTTGGGAACCTGGGAAATCACGTAAACCCATTTTGCAGACTACAGCTCAGAGAGGTTAAGAATTACCTTATGGAGATAGTTATAAAGGTTAAATGAAGTCATCTATACAAAGCATGTAAATATATATATATATATATATATATACATATATATATATATATATATATATATATATAATATATATATGTATATATATACACAAAGGTAGATGCTTGATAAATAGTGGCCAAATAATAAATGGTCCTTTGTATGACTGACCCACACCACTCTCTTATGAATGATCTCCAAAAAAAATTTATACTTAGATCATTTTAATTTCATCATAGTCCCTTTAAAAGTACAATCTAATATGTACAATCTAATTTTATTATCACATTTCTATGTAAATGTTTAGAGAGACTGCATTCATCAATGTTTATTGAGTACAAAGCATGTTTTTGCAGAGAAACAGAATAGAGACTTCAAAAGCCAGATTTGGCTTTGGGCTTTGGGATCATTGTTTAAAGACAAAGAGTGTATTTCGCTTGTTCTTTGAATTTAGGGGTTGAGTGACAAATACTCCAAAGTCATTTACTAAATGCTCATTTGGTCATCTGTTTTTACAAGCAAAAACTTTCTCTC